CAACACACAAATATATATACATACAGACACACACATCGACACATACATATATGCTCGCGTGAGCGATTGTGTTTGTTGGTACCTTTTTTGTCGCACATTTCCGACAAATTGGTACACGACACTATGTTCATGCGAGATTTAGAGCGCGTTTCACCGACGCTGCAGCGGAGAAAAAATAAACCGTAACACAATATTTAAAACGTTTCTGTTGGGCCCCTCATGAATCAAACAGTTGCCCGAACAATTTCGAAACGATATGAAGTACCTGTATCTATATTATAGGTATTAATATACATATATATTTATTGTATTATTATACCTACTGCGAATCAAATGATTTCAAGTTGTATAATCCAATAACTATTTATATTTTTTTGAGTATAAATTAATTCAAAATGTATTCCTATACAATATTCATCCCGCGCGCAGACCGTCATGTATATAATTTTTGAGCATATAAGTTTTAATTTCGTTGATACTTGGAAATTAGTAATTATTATTATGATCGAGGTCGCAAACAAAAAATTACAAATCTTTCAAAGTATCCAATATTATGTAGTATCATATTATTATGGTAACATTAAGGTCAATTCAAATTGTATGTTCATGCAAATTAGATTTTTGTTGGTTAATCCAAGAAATTAGAAGTTTAAAGGATTTCTGTTTTTGAATATGCCAGTATGCTTGAAAATATATTAGTTCAATGGGTTTCTTCGGCTTAATTCATTAAATCAAATTTAAATTGTAAAATATGTAAATAAGATTGTACAATTGTAAAATTGCTAAGAGTTTTAAAACTATGTCAGATTTTTCCGTAAAAATAATATTTATTTAAAAATACGCAAGAAAATATTTCAACACCTATAATTACATTTTAGTACGCGTATGTTATAATATTTGTATACCTTAGTTGTGAATTTTAAAGATATAAAAAAATGCTTTTACATTTTAACAAACGGAATAGTATTTTTTATCGTTTATATAATCTTATTTTTTTCTAAGTCAACTTTCTATATAATATTGTCTTTAGAATATAGACAACTGCAGCAATTGTTCTAATTCAAACAGATACGATTTTCGCAATCGTTCGACAATGCCATTCACACTCATTACCCATTGGCCATTGGTCCCAGATTAAACAACTTGTATGTATTGTTCAAACACTCGAAAAGGAGTGTAGTAAGAATCTAACGACCGTAACGAAGTATAGATTAAACAGAAGACAAAAACCAACGTTCGTAAATAATAATTATTACATTATCAGATGTATTCAGATTATTGAAAGTTTAATAAAAAGCAACAGGTAATAATGAATATGAATTGAATTGAGAAATATCTAAGCTAAGAAATGATTAAAATATACACCCACAAAAACGTTTGCTGTAAATTATATATACCTACGTAACCTAACTATACATACAATTTTATTTTTGGGTTTAAGGTTTCAAATTTAATCGATGGAATGAATGTTAAGTAAATTTAATTTTAAAGCGTTTAAGTTATTATACTATACTCCTATATTATGGCTGAATGTTGAAACAGTATCAATAACTAAAATGTACTTCAGTTAAAAAATATGTTATTATTATTATTATTATTATTATTATTATTATTATAGAAAATAAATAAGAGTTTTAAAATAAATTAATATTATACATTCAATTTGAATGGATGAATCTAAAATATTATTAAAATTATTTCGATGATAATATTCATCATATAACGTAGTTATAAGAATGAAAAATACTAACGAATATTTTATTGTATATATAGAGACGTTAATAATAAATTACGGAGACTGAGGTTGACAAAGTTCGTACAAATTGCGTACACTAATTTCGTATAAAAAACGTTTTACTACTAATTCACTCAATTCTTCTTAACATGACAGACAATAATAATATTTTAATTTATAGTGGTTAGACTAGGTACGGCCATAACACACAGTGATTATAATTATTAGATTAGACGACAACCGGACACAAACAGGATTGTCCGTGCCCTTGGCTTCAGACTTGTACAGACACATATACTTGCCACATTATTATATATATATATACATTATACATATTATGTCATAATGTTATAATTCACATACATACAGAACACAGCCGAAATCGATCACAAACGATCGACGTACTACTCTGCAGAGTACTTTACCCTATACTCAGTAACCGGTATATATAAATTGACACGCCGTACTTATGTCATATACCGTGGATATTATTTACCGAGTTGTTAACTGTGTATTTTTCAACGACTTATGAGAAGACAATATTTTCATTTTTTACGAAATTGTTCTATAATATTTATATTTAATATGTTATTCAGCTAGCAGTAACCGTTTTTTTTTAATGATTAACTTTTTTTAGTGATCGTAAAATGCAGGTGCAAATAAATATTAAGAAAATCCATATTTTGTTAAAAGGGTGATTTATTCGTGAATGCCAATAATATTGCCAACTTGTAGGTAAAAATGTAAGGCTCTCGAGTCAGTGACAGAGACTTCGACGGCCGTCGAATATAGGAAGTACAAAAAGACAAAAGTACGTATGTAAATATTATGTAATATTATGGAACATCAATAATTGTACTTCTTTTTGTCTTAATCATCTAAATCGAAATCATATAATGATATTGTAATATTTTATTACATTCCAATTTTCAATATATAATATGTCAGATGATATAACAATGATTAGGTAGGTACGCGTTGTTGGAACGAATGGAACGTCATGTAATAATATAATATACCAATATATGTACATTGGGTTGCCAGTATTTGAGCCTTGATATATTTTGGAAACCACCGCCTATAATCCCCGTAAACATTGATAACATCTTTGGGTTTGTTTAACATAGGCTGGTAACACCTTGTGCAGTAATTATTAATAACATATTTTTTAACTAAAAATTCAACGTATTTTCATCCTTATGGTTTTATATACGAACCGAATCATAAGTTTAGCTTTATCAACATTGCGTAGTATTTATTTCACGTCCTTCGTATTTTTTTTTTAAGAATACCTTTATTTTAAAAGGTACACATACTATGTAGCAAATTTAAATAAAAAATATGATTTTCAATACAACAATTAAAAAGTCAAATTATTTATTATAAGAAATTAAGATTTAATGGATTTCCTAATGTGGGAGGTATCAAATAGGTTATTATTAAAACTCCGCCAATTAATTTGTAAGTTTAAGAGCAAAATTGATTGAACGCTTTATAAGTAAACGAGTTTTGAGGGTTATTGAAATTTATACCGTTAAGTTAAAATAATTAATTTTTTTATTTTATAGATGTATATTATAAGTGTCTTATACTTATATTTTCTAATGTTTATGTTTATTTACCTATCGTTTGTTATTCTTCCCTGAAAATCTGAATATATACTAAACACTTTTTTTTTAATTTGACAGAGATATGTCTCTGATATAAATCTGAGGTAGGTACCTCAGTCTTAAAGTAAATATGTTTGGATTGGTAGGAGGTAGTAGAAAATTGAGAAAGAAGGAAAAGGATCTGTTTATCAGGATATGGTCTCAACGGTTTAAAAAAAAAATTGTTTATTATAGAGACAACATTTTAGAATATATATATATTATATACTCTATAAAGTTCTTTAACAGTAAAATTGGTTTTACTTTTTTTTTGACATTTTGACTACATTTTTTCCCACTGGTTAAAATTTAAATCAAAGTATACTAAATATGACAATCCTTAAAATATCAAATACTTCATCTTGGCACTCCAAAGTTCTATCTGATTTCACTGTTAGATTTTTGTATTTTATAATTTACTCTTTTAAAATATTAACAGCGTTATGCAGTTTACTAATATTTGATCATTGAGGTATATAGAAACGAGTTATATCACTATTTATAGCAAACGGATTAGAAAGAGTTTACCTATATAAACTATTTTGGTCATTGCAATTTTTTATTTTGTTTAATTAATAATTATTTTATTGTACAGATAATTTCTATATTCATTCGTTCTGATTGTAAAACTTAGTTAACCTAGGTATTTAATATTTATGTATGATGATAAGTTAATAATTTGCATAATATTTAAAAGTTTATAAATGCTACCGAAATATTTTTTTTTTAAGCGCACACGAAGTCAAAGATCAATGAATAATAATTATTTAAAACTAAATACCGAGTTCAAGGGTTAGTGTATTATTATTTATTACATATTATACATGGGTATTTGGTTGTATTATGTTTTTAAACTGTTTTGGTGTTCGGTCTAAAAAAGGTCTGGTCGGAATAGTAATTTTAGTTAATTATTATTTTATGACACTTAGAGTTAGGCCTTAAAGATTCTACTCTTGACTACCTAATATTTTAACGGCTCTTGTAATATTATGACGAGACTACGAGAGTATAGTGCCAGTCTATAAACTGTGCTTATATTATATCCGAATAACAAACAGACATTTAAATAATGTGACAATAACATATAATATAGTATGTTTTATTAAGATATTATTATTATTTTATTGCCTTGTACCATGTATTATTTAAAAAATAACATTACAATTATTAAATATATTAAATTACCATTATATTGTAGCCTGTAGGTATGATTTTTTTTTATATCCTTCATAACAATCACGGAAGAATACAATTAATTTATAATTTAACTGTACACTATTCAATATTTTTCTCAAACAAATATGATGTTTAAAGTGCCTATAATTATGAAATACAGAACTTTAAGCATAATTTAAAATAATAATGATACGTATAATGATTAATGAAACATCATCACCATGTATACAAACGCTATAAATTATTATTAAATTATATCATAGAAACTGCATATTATATTCGTATCGCGTGTGATAAAAATAATATTATGATGTTGATTCTTTATTTTATAGAGCGAGGGTACCTATAATATTTCAGACCTTATACAAAACTCGGCTCCGGAGAAGTGAACTCCTCTATAATGGGTAGATAGAAAACGAAGTACTAAAAAAAAAAATTACCTGGTGAACATGTTGGAGGAATTAGCCTGGAAATCCAGCTTGATGGTTCGAATCAAGACAAAACAACGAGAAAGAAAAACTGAAACCGCTGTTCCAGTATACTCGCCGTATAAAAAATACGTAAGTACTAGATTTTGCACAATTATGACGACTACGACGACGACACCGACGTACGAATCGCACCGTTCGCGTTTGATATGGCGTGCGTTTCACATTTCCGATCGGAAGTCGACACGCACACGGAACGGATATTATGTGAAAAAAAAATCAAAAAAAAATCGACAACTACAAAAAGGACCCGGGGTGATCACAACAGCAATGATGCGGCGAGTGGCGCTTGTTACTGTTTAAACAATTAATATTAATAATATAAATAATTAACACCGAGACATTCACGCGTATTAGAATAATATTATTATCATTTGCGACCGCACGTGAACCGGTCCGTCCGCGCGTTTGAGACTGCGGCTGTCTTCTTCGCGTCCACCCGCACAAGCGCGGCGGCGATGGTACCCCCGCCCCAGAACGCTCACCAGGTAACCGGTCCGGAACATCATTGGTTGATGGTATGCGGACCGCCCAGTCATTGGTATACGCCGCGGAGCGCCGTCACGTGTTCCCGCCGCCGCCTAGCCACGTGCTACTCCGCCACCGCACAATAAAAAAATATTATATTATAATATTATTATCACGTACCTCCTCTTATATGGTATAATAATATGATGTATTGGCAGGCGCGCGAGACAATAATAATAATAACAATATTCAGGTTTAGTCGTTTAGGGGCTACACAATATGTTTAGGACTCTATACCTATTATAATAATGCAGTATTTAAAATCACGGGTTTTCGATTGTTTAAACTAAAACCGGAACTAAATCATTATGACAATCATATAGGCGCAAATCCATTAAAACTTCAGAGGGAGGAGGGGGGGGTAACGTTTTTAACATCGATGTGGAGGGGGGGGGGGGTCTTCGATTCCACACAACTAAAAACTAAATATTTTTGGAGGGGCTATAAATACAGATTACAGATATTCAGAGGTGGAACTAGGCCGATTTGCGACTCCAAATATACAATATTAAAACTTTATAGAATATACTATAGTTGAAATGCCAGTGGATCGGTAAGACTTCTTAGTTCTTATACGCTCCATCACATGTATATTAAGCGGTACTGGACTTCCCCCTCCCCCCGACAGAGACATTTTCCACCTGAATCAATGTATATATTTTTTTACACATAATAATATTTTGGAAAATATAGGTTCTTTGGTTTTACCCGAAATATACGATCATCTTATCGGCGTCTATTGACTATCATCGTTCACGTTTTTATTAAAGCTCTACAGATGAGCATTATTCAAGTAGTCAAGTGCATCAATAAACATTTTAAATTATAGAGTAGAAGCTTTTCGTAATAATTTAGGTAAAGACGACAGCTTAAAAAAGTTATGTGAAAGTTTTTCAAATGATTAAATTTAGTGAATTTGTATTGGCATTTGGCAAATAGCAAAAGTGTTATTATATGATGTGTTATTGAATTATATTTGTGTATTGCTTTCATAGAATTATAATGAGCAAATTTATTTGCATTGTATATTTTATTATTATTGTTTAATATTTTTACTTTTATTTTTTGTCTGGGGAGGGGGGGACGTCCTAAATTCATATTAAGCAAAGTGCACACATTTCGCTATACGACACAGTTAGGTATTTGGTTTTTTTTGTCCAAATTTTAAGTATATGTCTAAAAGTATATCCAATCATAATAACTATTTAATTTTTCGTAACCAATAGCAATAATCCTAAACAGACCTCAAAGTATTGGTTTTTTGTGAGCCCCTCCTGATTTTTTCAAAAATCTTTTCACAGTGCAACCCTCCAAATGGTTGAGGTTCGAAGGTACCAGAACATTTAGCTAGAATTTGTCACACAAGACTGACACATGGATAATTGTTATCAAAATGTGACTCGCCTATATATGCCAATCATGCAGCTCTTTGGCGCTCACAATCAAACACATTTTCGAGGAACGCAGAAAGTACGAAAAACAATGAGACGAGGAACTCAACACAATCCATCTCATTGCAACAATAGTCTACCTATAGGTCCAAATTCAGACAACGAAATCCACACGGTAGAATTCTTTGAGAGAATCGAAATATTAAAATTAATACAGCCAACAAAAAATTGCAGTATACATATACAGTGTACATGAATATTGAAATATTTGATTTAAAACTGTAATTTTTTTTTGTTCTCTTCCGTACAGACATTGAGCAACGCATAAACCTTATACAAATGAAGAGCTATAACGGCCTTAGTAAAAGAAATTATTATTTCAAGACCAATGAAAAAACGTGCACGCACCTATGTACACTATATAGTAATGTACATTGTACAGGTAAATTTCACGGACAAATTGTGAAGTTAAACCCGAATAAGTGCAGTGTAGGTACCTTGTGTGAGGATAAAAGGTAAAAGAATGTTAAATATAGCATGCTGGCAATGCGCACCAACAAAATATTTTCCATACTCGTACTTACCTATACGAATGTGCTATGGACGACTTTCCATTGTACCTATATAATATTCACACGACAAAAGATATTTTTTAAAAGCCCTGTTTTTTAGTCTGTACACTATTCATCTTCTATTCTCTATTGGTATCTACCCGTATATACCTATTTATATTTTATTCCATCATACTTTCCTTTATTTTATTTGAATAACATATATAATAGTAAAAATTGAATGAGTTGCCAAGTTAATTTAGGACGAGACAGTATCAATCATGTAGAAGTATTTATATTTTATTCATCCATATATGTATGAAATATTTATTTGTCTAAAACAAAAAAATAATATGATCAAAAATAGTAAATGTAAAAGCTCAGTGCCATCTACATTAATGTAAATAATTATAATATAACAGAACGCAACACAAATTGACTCTCATTGTATTTTTAACTATAAAGAGTATTTTTCATTGGTTACTTTATACCCTACGTATGTATAGGTTTTACGACTTAGAGTATGATTTTATCTTTAACTTGTAATAATAATTTTTTTTTTTTTTTTGTTATTGGTACAACATAAGCTATATACTTACTAAGTTATTAGCTTACAAAAAAATACATACAATAATAATGGTTTTCTTAGATTAAGTTGTAGATATATCAATAAGTTATAGAAATCTGATGTTCTTGTTGGTGTTGCGTCTTCGATTGGGCTAATAATTATATTGTATTATGTACTTACACATTACACGGTTTGACAACCTTAACGAAATACTACCTAACGGTACATAATGTATATATAAACAATCGTGATAGCAAAGCGCCTGTTGTACTACTTGATTTTTCACTTAAAATAAAAAAAGTAAGACTTAAGTGAAACCAAAATAGTAAGTGTATAGTGTTATTCGTGGTTGATAACATAAGCTGACATTTTTAATGGATTCTTTTAACGGAATACTCCATACATAAAATAATACTGTCGAAGAGAAAATTTTTATTTTTCATTAATAATAAATATTAACCATAAGTATCTACTATAACAATAGATTTTATTCGAAATCAATTAGGTGATTGATTAACGCATATTTTTTAAGATGCAAAAATTGAAGGTTTTTATTCTTTAAGTTTCTTACTCTATGAAATATGGACTTTCATTTTAAAATAAGGATGGAGTTTAACATTTTAATATTATTATTACTTTGAATATTTAATAGGAGAATATCATTATAGTATTATAACACCATGAGTCACTATATAACTTTTAAAGTGCCCAATTAATATTTATTTAGGTATTGTTAAAACAATAATTTATTTAAGTCTTATAAAAGTCAAAACCAAACTATACATATTATATTAATAAATAAAATAAAATATTGTATGAATTAGAATAGTGGCAACCAAAATATTTTTTTGAGCCACCGGCACAAATAGGATGAAAAGAAAACGAATAAAGAGCTCAAAAGGACTTCGGTCAGTTTTGTGTTATTAAGCATTGTCATATTTTCATTTTTATAAAAATTAATTAATAATTATTTATATTATTCATTTATTTTACATTAAAATCGATTACATTTTATTGAACTCCTTATTATCTACTATTTAAAAGAAATACATTATATTATATTATATTATACTCGTTGGTATAGTATGAATTATGAGTAAAATAAATATATTTTCTTGAGAAAGTTATTGAAAGATCTTATTCTGATTTTGATTGGAAAATAATTATTTCGATAATTTAAAGTACGCGTAAAAATGTGCATCGTATAAAGTGTGGGAAACATTTTAACAACTCTGATTAATCAACGCGATAGTTTTTATTGGGCGCTCCGCCGTCCATATAATGTTTATTACGAAATCACGGTGTTAATTTTTCGTAGATAGTATCTTTTTTTTTTTATTAATGCAATAAAGTGTGTAATAATAATTATTGCTTATATTACAGTCAACACACTTGTATGAATATATGATATATATATATACCATAATACTATATTATACCATTTGTACCCAAGGGCGCCCATAAGTGGGTGCAAGGGGGTGAAATGCCCATTGCCCACCCACTAGACAAATAATCGTATTTTTTTTAATTGTAAATAATAAACGATTTCTACTGATTGTATTAAACTACGTGAAATATTACTTATAGTTACATCGTTTATCTATGTTGTACATTTTTTTTCTGTTATTTATATAATAAAAGCAGTTTTGTCGGTTATTCTTAGTTGTATTTGTATGATATTATTTTAACCCCTCTATAGGTTCTCATTGATGGATATTGTTTGCATCGTTGTTTTGTTATTAGGTACTCTATGAATAATAAGATATTCATACAAACCAGACGAGGGCGCAGGGTGATTTTTTTAACAGTGAACATTATAATTACATATACCTAATATACAGTTTTTTCCGAAATAGTTTTTTTGGAAATTGTTTCGATAGATTTAGTAGCGATAAATAAACAAAAATCATATTCATTGAGATACAAAATTATCATAGTAGTATGATATTATAACAGATACATAATGTAATTCAATATTATTATATCTTAAGGGGGTCGGTGGTGGACAGTGAAATCGGGAAAAGTCCCGACCTCAAGTAGACATAATAACAAATTCAAATCTGTTCTGAAAAGTATTATCGTATTACTAGGTCGATAAGTATGATGGACATACGATTGGTATGTTTTGGCCAAAATAAATGTTCGGGCCAAAATAAATGTTTGATGGAAATCAGTAGGTCCATCTGCTTTAGTATACACCACGAGCAAGTAACAAGAGAAAAGTTATCTAAATTCAGATAATTGCCAAAAGGTCTTCGAATTGGAGCTATTTATCTGAATAATATATACAAATTGAATTTATCGACATAATATTATCGTCACCTTTGTTACCCCCCAAACCGGTCGGAAAAAATTTAATTTTTCACCCAATCCG